AACAGCCATTTGTCTGAAATGGTGTAGGGTTTCTTGCCTGAGCAGGGGGTTGGACTAGATGACCTCCAAGGTCCCTTCCAACTTTACTACTACTACTACTACTACTACTACTACTACTACTACTACTACTACTACTACTACTACTACTACTATTATTATTATGGATCATCGCACAGTCAACCAGATGTTCAGACTGGATTTGGCATTTTGTCTACCTATCGAGTCCTTACCCAGGACCTGGGATAGTATTATTAATTATTATTATCATTATTATTATCATTATTATTATTATTAATTATTATTATTATTATTATTATTATTATTATTATTATTATTATTATTGATCATCGCACAGTCAGCCAGATGTTCAGACTGGATTTGGCATTTTGTCTACCTATTGAGTCCTTACCCAGGACCTGGGATAGGCAGATGTGGATGTTTGATGGTATTACAGATATTGTCGCAGGATTATTATTATTATTATTATTATTAACTAGATTTCTCAGTTCTGCTGGTTGGTTTATACACCAATGAATTCATAATTCCCAGTCTTTTCCCTGGCTCCTATCTCTAGTTCCTTTCCTTCGTCTGCTCCATGCTCTTAGCTTAATTGTGTTGCCCATCGGAGGCTGGAGAGGTTTTAGCAGCGGGAGGCATCTCCTTGCCACTAGCTCCCACTGGTGGATCATGCAGTAAGAAAGCCTGCTAGCAAAGGAAGAGATGGGGACAGACACCACCGTCCATGCAGAGACAATGCAGATAATCTCTCTTTCCACTCTAGGGTGACTCAGGCGGCCCGCTGGTTTGCCTGGAGAATGGCAGATGGTTCCAGGCTGGGGTCATGAGCTCCTCGTTGAGTTGTACCCAATTCTACGGTCCCACCCTCTTGACGGACATGAGAGCCTACGCCAATTGGATCCAGCATCATGTTGAAGGGGCCTCCTTTGCCAATCAGATTGAGCCCATACCCAACACCACTGACAGTTACATGTGCACAGGTAGGCGTCTTCGCATCTCACTTCTGTGAATACCTTCATTGACCACCCGTCTGCCCGAAGCCTTGCTTCAAGGATTCTGGTGACATTCCATACTGCTCCATCTTCGCCTTCTGATCCAGTTTCAGTTCAGCCTCTCTCTCTCTTTTTTTTTTTTTCAGAATAGGAAAGGTCTTAATTTAAGTCAGCTGTGGATGCCAGATAAGCGTCTAAGTCTGTTTGCATTGCCAAGGCTTAAACCAAGGGTGTCAAACTGCCGGCCTGTGGGCCGGTTTCATCATACCGGAGCCGCGCCCACCCCATTGCCGGCAATGGTGAAAAAGCTCTGATACGTCGCGCGACGTCACGTGACGTCGCGAGTTTGACATGTCTGGCTTAAACCAAAGATCTGCAAGTTTGCTTTTGCAATAAATTATCAGCTATCAGCCCAAAACAGAAGCAATGGTGCTTGCCTTGGCAACCTGAAGAGATGTGAACTCCAACTCCCAGAATTCTCCAGCCAGCCATGTTGAAGTCCAGACTTCTTAAAATGGCTGAGGTTGAGAAACACTGCTCCAAACTAGTCACCGGTTCTGTGTAATGGCTGTCATCTTATAAAGCAGCGTTTTTCAACCATAGTAATTTTAAGATGTGGACTTCAACTCCCAGAATACTCCAGAGAATTCTGGGCATTGAAGTCCACACATCTTGAGGTTGCCACGGTTGAGGAAAACTGGTCTACATTCCAATCTTAATTTAAGACCCATTTAGCGCACCAGAGGGAAAAAGGATCGACAGCCCTTCTCACACTCTCTACCCCTATTGACAATGTTGCCTGGGATCACATTCGGAAGGCCATAGGATTCTCATCGGAACATTGCTTATCTGGCCTATCACGGTTTAAAGCTGGTTATCAGCACCTTTGGATGTGATGGGAATTATATGGCTTATCTATTCATCTAGGCCAGTGGTTCTCAACCTATGGGTCGCGACCCCATTTGGGGTCGATCGACCATTTCATGGGGGTCGCCAAGCAAGGCTGTCCGCCATTTTTTCCCCTTTTCCAGCGGGTGCCTTACCTCCCTTGAGCTGGGCCAGCTGGTGGTCGGCCTGCTCCATCTCTGCCGCTTGCCAGCTACGCCTCGGCCGGCGCAGGGGGCGGAACCACGCATGCGCGGTGCTCCCGGGCAGGGAAAGTCCTCGACTTAGAACCGGTTGGGTAGTCCTCGACTTACGACCGGTTTAGTCCTCGACTTACGACCGGCCTAGTCCTCGACTTATGACCGGTTGGGGGTCGCGGCATTAAAAAGGTTGAGAACCACTGATCTAGGCATCCAAAGGCCACATCCTGGAGGCTGTGTAATAGTTTCTTCCGTGTGGAATAGTAACATTTTCGATGTGTGTGGGTTGAAAACTAGAAAAATGTTTTCCTTTTCACAGTGGCTCCATGGGCCTCTTCTGCTTCGTATTTTATTGTCCCCTTCCCTACACTGTGAAAATCTTTAGTGTCACCAGGCTGCGTTGCTTGGAGGTGTTTGGGGTTCATGACCGGCACACCCCTGCAACGTGGAAGAGGTGCTGATGGAGATAGTTATCTTTGGGGACATGAGATGAAGTGACACCTTATGTTACAGGTGGTCCTCGTTTTATGCCCATTTGTTTAGTGACCGTTTGAAGTTACAATGGCATTGAAAAAGTGACCTATGACCATTTTTCACACTTATGACCATTGCAACATCCCCGTGGCCATAAGGTCAAATTTTGGACACTTGGCAACTGGCAAGAACTTGTGATGGTTGCAGTGTCCCAGGGTCACTGCATGCAAAGCAAACATTGACAAGCAAAGTCAATGAAGAAGCCAGAAGAGTGTTACTAACTGAAGAACTGCAGTCATTCTCTTAACAACCATAGCAAGAAAGGCCATAAAATGAGGCAAAACCCACTTAACATCTCTCTTGCTTAGCAACAGAAATTCTGGGCTGAATTGTGGACATAAGTTGAGGACTACCTGTGTTCTTTATTGATCTCCAGACTGTGGGGTCCTGAAACAGGAGAACAAACCATGGCCTTGGTATACAAGCCTACGGTATCAAGGACAGCATGTCTGTGGAGGCACTTTAATTGGTGAAGACCGGGTGCTGACTGCTGCCCAGTGCTTCATTGGGTGAGTACTTGTCAGGCAGCCACTGAGTAGGGAAGAGCCCATATTGGTCAATATCCACATTCATCTCACTGACTTTGGATTAGATCTGAGAACTTCTTTTCAACTAATGGTGTCCTTTGAACATTCTCAAGCTTAGCTAAGCTGACCCATTCATTTCTCTGTATCGTAAAGATGAATGAATCTGGCATCAAGCCTCAGCCAGGGAGGGTGACGATTTATTTATTTGTATCCTGCCTTTATTATTTTTTACAAATAAGGTGGCAAATATATTCAACATGTCTTCGCTCTCCTATTTGCCCCCTGCAACAATCCTGTGAGGTGTGTTGGGCTAAGAGAGAATGACAGGCTCAAAGTGACCCAGCTAGCTTTCATGGCTAAGGCAGGACTAGAATTCACCATCTCCCGATTTCTCGCCTGGTGCCTTCATCACTAGACCAAACTGACTATGGTAGAATCCCAACTCCCAGAATTTTTGGCCTGGCTTTACAAAAATCAGGACACCTGGAAACCTCCCTCTTTATATTAAGTCAAACCCCCAAAAGTTATTACAGATAATTCTTGACTTACAAGCATTTGTTTAATGACTGTCCAAGTTACAACAGTGCTGAAAAATGTGACATGACCGGGCCTCCTACTCATGATCATTGCAATGTCCCCATGATTACATGATCAAAATTTGGCAACCAGCATGTAGTTACAGTGATTGCAGGACCCTAGAATCATGTGATCACCATTTGTGATCTTTCCATGGGCTTCCAGCAAACAAGCTCAATGGGGGAAGCCAAATTTGTCAACAACTGCATGATTCGCTTAACAACCACATATAGGTGGTACCATACCGTATGCTCAACAGTAGCAACTGTGAGAGGGACCTTGGAGTCTTAGTGGACAATCACTTAAATATGAGTGTGCTGCAGCTGCCAAAAAAGCCAACACAGTGCTAGGCTGCATTAACAGAGGGATAGAATCAAGATCACGTGAAGCGTTAATACCACTTTACAATGCCTTGGTAAGGCCACACTTGGAATACTGCATCCAGTTTTGGTCACCACAATGTAAAAAAGATGTTGAGACTCTAGAAAGAGTACAGAGAAGAGCAACAAAGATGATTAGGGGACTGGAGGCTAAAACATATAAGGAACGGTTGCTGGAATTGGATATGTCTAGTTTAACGAAGAGAAGGACGAGGGGGGACATGATAGCAGTGTTCCAATATCTCAGGGGCTGCCACAAAGAAGAGGGAGTCAAGCTATTCTCCAAAGCGCCTGAAGGCAGGACAAGAAGCAACGGATGGAAACTAACCAGTTAGAACAATTAACCAGTGGAACAACCTGCCTCCAGAAGTGGTGAATGCTCCAACACTGGAAATTTTTAAGAAGAGATTGGACAGCCATTTGTCTGAAATGGTGTAGGGCTTCCTGCCTGAGCAGAGGGTTGGACCAGAAGACCTCCAAGGTCCCTTCCAACTCTGTCATTCTATTCTATTTTATATTCACTTAAGGACTGTGGCAATAAAGGTTCTAAATTTGGATGTGATTCACTTGATGTCTGCATTGTTTAGTGATAGAAGCTCCAGCCCCAATTGTCATAAATTGAGGACCACCTGTACTCAATCCAACCTAATTGCACAGATTTCCTTTCTTGTTTTTCTTGGGCATCATTTTTTCCCCCTTCTGCCTCATGTTTCCCAGCCGCCAGGAACCCGAAGAGTGGGAGGTGTTACTGGGAGAGCAGCTGGACGGAGGGAATCAAACGTGGCAAGAGAAGAGGACTGTCCAAAACATTGAGCTACACGGTCTCTACGTCGACATGATGGAAGGTTACGACATTGCGGTAGTCACCCTGGCGCAACCTGTGGTGTTCAAC